GGGAGGGAGGGAGGGAAGAGGGCGGGAGGGAAGAAAGAAGTGGAAGGAGGAGGGGGGAGACAGGGGGGAGGAGGGAGGGAGGAGGGAGGAGGGAGGACAAGGAGGAGGGAGGAGGGGGAGGAGGAGGAGGAGGGAAGGGAAGGAGGAAGGAGGGAGGGAGAGAAGGAAGGGGGAGACCAGAGGGCGGCGCCGAACCCGACAACAGGACTAGGAGGAATGGGAGGTAACGCGGGGAAAAGAAGGAGTAGAGTGAGGAGTGAGGAGAGCGGAGGAGGCAGGCGATGAAGGAAGTGGAGGAGAGGATGCCGGGGTAGGAGGAGGAGGATGTGGGAGGGGGGGCGGTGGGCGACGGGCAAAAAATATTTACGTGGCAGAGGGGGGAGCGGGAGGAGCAAGGGGGGAGGGAGGGACAGAGCAGGAAGAGGCTCGGGAAGGAGGGGGCGGGTGGAGGGAGGGAACAGGCTCGGGAGGAAGGGGTCCGATTCTGCAGGGGGCGGCAACGACTTAAAAACTTAATTTCTTAATTGGGGCAAGGGGGGCAAACAAACAATGATCGGGACAAGAAAAACACGACGAGGCAAATCATTGCGTTGGTGAGGGGGGAGGGCAGGCGGAGGGAGGAGCAGGAGGAGGAGGAGGAGGAGGAGGACAAGTTAGGTGCGCTCGCGTCAACATCTGACATCGTACCCCTCCCTCCAATTACCATAGCGCTGATTTTCTCTATCCGCGGACGCGTGTCGTAGCGGACCTGTGGCTCCGCGCGCGTGTGCGTAGTGGGTGGTGGTGCGCGTGCGTGCGTGCGTGTGTTCGTGGTTGTGGTTGTTGTGGTGGTGGTGTGTATGTGTGTGTATGTGTGCGTGTGTGCGCGTGTGCTGTGGTGTGACGTGGTGTGGCGTCTTGGTGGTTTGGTGGTGGGCCAGGTGCGTACGTGCGTGATGGCGGTGGTGGTGGTGGTGGCGGTGTGTGTGTGTGTGTGTGTGTGTGTGTGTGTGTGTGTGTGTGTGTGTGTGTGTGTGTGTGTGTGTGTGTGTGTGTGTGTGTGTGTGTGAGTGTGTGTGTGCGTGAGTGCGTGCGTGCGTGCGTGCGTGCGTGCGTGCGTGCGTGCGTGCGTGCGTGCGTGCGTGCGTGCGTGCGTGCGTGCGTGCGTGTGTGTCTGTGTGCGCGCGCGTGTGATGTGGTGTGACGCGGTGTAGCGTGGTGGTGGTGGGTGGGGTAGTGGGGTGGTGGTGGCGGTGCGCGTGCGTGCGTGCGTGCGTGCGTTGGTGGGTGGAAGTGGCGGTGGGTGTGCGTGCGGCGGGGCGGGGCGCGGTGCGGCGCGGTGGTGGCGGGCGGATGGGCGCGCGAGAAAGAAGCCCGCGCTGGGGCGAGAACGCCATCCTGAACGACGGAGGCAAAACACCGATCCGTAAATGAGGCCCACGCTGCAGCGGGAGCACGATTCGGAACGATTCGGGGGCAGAAATGAGGCCGGCGCCTCAGCGAGAGCAGCATTTTGAACAAAAACGCAGGCGAAAACCCAACTCCCTGGAATCCTGTGTGCAAAAAAAAACATTACGCGGGGGGGGTCGAAAATTCCCAGGGCGCCATCAGGGGAAGAGGGAGAGTAGTATTCGTATCAAGCTAGGTGCGCTCGCGTCATATCTGACGTCCTACCCCTCCCTCCCATCCCTTACCATGGCGTTGATTTTCTCTATCCGCGGACGCGTGTCGTAGCGGACCCGTGGCTCCGCGCGCGCGTGCGTAACGCGTGGGTGGTCCAAACTCCAAACGTTTCGCGTTTCCCGCCCGGGGTTGTTTAGGTTTCCGTGTATGGTTGGTGCCCCCCAACCAGCCTCGTCCACGCCCTCGAGCTCCTTCAGGCGGCGGGTCAAGGACTCCACCTTCGCCTCCGCCGCTGTCGCCCTTGCCAGCGCCGCGGTCAGCGCCTCCTTTCGCTCCTGCTTCTCCGTCTGCTCGTGGTCGTCCTCGCTGGAGTCGCTGGGCCCTCGTCTCTTCCTCTTGCCGCGCGGAGTGGGCCCTTTGCGAACCGCCTCCTCCAAGTAGTGCTGCGCGGTCTGGTCCCACCCTCCTTGGACTCCAGTCGTGGCCAAAGGAACAGGGGCTCCTGGGCGGGTAGAGTTGCGCCGGCCTTTGTTCTGCGCGTTCACGATCAGGTTGCGGTAGTCGGCGCGGCTTATGTCTTTGCGACACCCGCCCGCTTCCTGCACCATGGCCTGCACGGCCTCCTGACTCGGGGGGGTCGCGGGCACTGGCCGCCCCTCCAACTTCGTAAGCTGTGCACTGATCGGTGCCAAGTTCGCCTCGAACTTAGTGTCAAGAAGAGCACCCATGCTCTCAAGCGTCACAGCCATCGCCGCAAAGTAGCGGGCGAGAGTTCAGTGGGTCCTTGAGTCGCATTGGGTCCTTGAGCCAAAATGGGAGACGGAGGAGGAGGAGGAGGAGGAGGAGGAGAAGGAGGAGGAAGAGGAGGAGGAGGAGCAGGATGAGGATGAGGAGAGGAGGAGGAAAAGAGGGTGTAGGCAGAGGAGGGAAGGGGATAGGATGAGGAGGAAGGAGGAGAGTAGGAGGAGGAGGATACGAGGAGGATGGTAAGGAGGAGAGACGACGAGTAAGAGGACGAGAGGAGAGGAGGATGAGGAAAAGGAGGCAGGAAGGGGCGGGAGGAGACGGGACGGAATGGGAGACGAGTTTCTGGAGGAATGGACAGGAGTGGTAAGGGGATATAGAAATGTTATTCGTCGGCTCAACGGGCTAAGATCCCTGGTAACAAGCTAACCATATGACAAGTTCGCGCGCGCGTGGCGGCCCCTAGGGGCCCCGACGCGGCAAGTACCCTGCCAAGGCCCCGGCAAGTCCCCGGCAAGGCCCCGGCGGGTGCCCGTCAGAGATGCCGGAGGCCCCCAAGACGGCCCAAGAGGTGCCCAATGCGTCCTCAAGGGGACGCCGAGACGGTCCAAGAGGCCTTCAGGTCCTCGAAAGATCGGCCCACGATGCCCAAGATGGCCCCACGATTGCCCAAGAGGCCGCCAAGACGCCTCCAACAGCACTTCCGACAAGGCCCCGACAGGCCAAATTGATTCCTTCCCGTTTGTTTTTGAACATGTTTAGCCTTCTCAACTTTTCGGCGCTTCGTCTCTCCTAGACGGCCCACGAGGCCCCGAAGATCGCCTCCAGACGGCCCAAGAGGCCCCCAGGAGGCGCCCAAAATGGCCCAAGGGGCCCCGAAGAAGGCCCAAGAGGCCCCCAGGACGGTCCGAAGAGGGCCCCAAGACGGGGAACGCGATCCGAAAACCCGAGCCTGGCGCCCCATAAGGGCCCCAAGAGGCCCAAAGAGGCCCCAAGAGGCTTCCAAGAGGCCCCCAGGAAGTCCCCAGGAGGCCTCCATGAGGCACAACACCTGCCTCCAAGAAGCCCCCGAGAAGCCTTCCACGAGACCCCACGAGCCATCCGAGTGGCCTCAAACCCACACAACCAGGCAGCCCCAGCGATGCGAAACGCGCTGGCGGAATGAGCGAAGCGAAGGGGGAATGCGAAGAGATGGAGGGGATGAGGATGCGAGGGAATGGCCGGAGGGATATCGATGGGGCAGTGTTGGGAGCACGCGAAAGGAAGTGGAGGGGTAGGTGCAAGGAGAGAGGCAGGTGGAGGAATGAGTGGGAAGTGGTTTCTAACACCGCCTGAGCCGTTCAATCTTGTGCAACCTGCGCACCAGGAAACTCTCGACCCCAGGTGAATCGCGATTTCGCACCGCGGGTCCGTTTCTTCGAGCCCCGAGGCCCAGAAGGGCCCCCCTGGGCGCGTTCAACCTTGAATTCCGTTGACCACGTCTGACCACTCGCCTTAGACTCGATACGACATCGAACGTCCGAGACTAACCCTGTAACACCGGCTTCGTCGGCTGGGGTGCTGTCATTGGCCCGAAGGCTCGGCACCAATGTTGCAATCAAACCGACATCCTCCGAATCACCCTCAGAAGAAAACGACGGCCATCCACTTGTTGCCATCGCGTATCTTCTAACTCACCCCCCAGAGGAAAAGGAGGAGGGAGGAGGACAAGGAGGAGGAGGTGGAGGAGAAAGTAGTCTACAGTAGTAGAAGTAGTAGAAGCAGTAGGAGGAGGAGGAGGAGGAGGAGGAGGAGGAGGAGGAGGAAAACATGGAGGAGGATGAGGAGGAAGAGGAGGGGGAGGAGGAGAGGAGGAAGGAGGAGGCGCATGGGGAAGGAAGGAAGGAGGAGAAGGAGGAGGAGGAGGAGTGAGGAGGCGGAGGAGGAGAAGAGGGTAGGGAAGGAGGAGGAGGAGGAGGAGGAGGACAGGAGGACAGGAGGCCAACGTTGGAGCGATAGCGTGTCCGTGCGCCCCGCGACCCGGCGACCCGGCACCCGGCGACCCGGCCCGGCGACCCGGCGACCCAGCACCCCGCGACCCGGCACCCGGCCCGGCAACCCGGCACCCGGCACCCAGCACCCGGCATCCAGCGCCCGGCACCCGGCGACCCGGCTACCCGGCACCCGGCACCCGGCGACCCGGCGACCCGGCACCTCGCACCCGGCACCCGGCAGCCGGCGACCCGCGACCCGGCGACCCGGCGACCCGGCGACCCGGCGACCCGGGACCCCGGACCCCGGCACCCGGCACCCGGCACCCGGCGACCCGGCGACCCCGCGACCCGGCGACCGGCACCCGGCACCCAGCACCCGGCACCCGGCACCCGGCACCCGGCACCCGGCACCCGGCACTAGGCGACCCGGCGACCCGGCGACCCGGCAACCCGGCACCCGGCACCCGGCACCCGGCACCCGGCACCCGGCGTTTCCCGGCCGGCCCCCCGTCCTTGTCAGGACCGACCTCGTTTACGTCTACTCTGACGCCTCGGCGTTTCGGACCGCTTTGGTACAGTGATAGATGCCACAGGGCACGTTAGGAACAGCCAGGGTGAACTGGCTCATTCATAGAGTGCCCAGGATTGATCTTTTAGCCAAGTCGCCGATTGCTTGGGCAGGTCAATGTTTGGGACGGAAAGACCTTCGAGCTCCGATGCTCCCTCACGGACCACTTCGAGCAAGGCTTGGACGCAGACCACAAAGCAACGCCACCGATCCTGGTGAGGCTCATCCTGGTCCCAAGATTGGTGTTTTTGTCATCGCAGCCTGTCCAGGGGGTGGTTTTCACCGATCCTGGATCCAGGATAGATCTGACCAGGGTCGGTTAAGTGGATGTTGACGTCCCTCGAAAGGCGGCGTCGTCCGTTTCAGGTGGCTTCCGGCGCCTGTCTACGGCTCCTGGCTCAGCACCTGCGCCACAGACGGCACTGTGCGGTTGTACGACGCCTTGGCGGGCCAGTGCATACGAACGTTACGGGGCCACAGCGACACAGCGCTGGGCTTAGCGAGTTGGGAACCATGTCCTGAGATCTACTCTTTCCAGGCTCGTGAGCAGTAGACATGGCAAGATCCACGACCTCGCGGTCCGGACCTCTCAGTTGCGACCCCCATGGATGAAGGGGTCTCAGCGCTGATGCCCCGCGCGGAGAAAAGTATCCACGGGATCGAGTATCCAGGATCGCGCCTCGGTGTTCAGACCGCGAGGGCATTGATATTATTTTGTTTGTCGCTCGTGGGGGATCCCAAAGCTCTCGCATCAACATTCTGCAAGAAGCACGTCTGATCGAGAAGGGGGGCAGGACTAATGACAGGTAATGTGGTAATGTGGTGTCCGAGTCCAGGACTCCACCGACGGCCGCCTTGGTGTCAAGGAAAGAGGCTGCAACAATGAAACCGGGCAAAGCGCTGATGGCTCGGCCGTCCTGCACATCGCAGGGAACGCAGAGGAGGAGGAGGAGGAGGAGGAGGAGGAGGAGGAGGAGGAGGAGGAGGAGGAGGACGACGAGGAGGAGGACGAGGAGGAGGACGAGGAGGACGAGGAGGAGGAGGAGGAGGAGGAGGAGGAGGAGGAGGAGGAGGAGAAGGAGGACGAGGACGAGGAGGACGAGGAGAGCACGTCCGCGATCCGAAGGCGCACGTGTGCTTCCGAAGAGGGCCTTGGTCGCTGCGCCCGCCAGGACCAGCCTCAGCCTGCTCCCGCTCCAGTTGGGGCCGCCCGTTGGACCAGCCACCCCCGTTCCCTGGCCCTCCCCCCCTGCGGTGGCCCAAGGCGCTGGGGTAAGGACGTAGGGGGCGTTCCAGAAAGGGCCTCGCCTTCCGAGGCTAGAAGGAGCTGTCATCGGCGGAAGTAAAGCGAGGTCGGCGGAAGTAAAGCGAGGCCGGCGGAAGGACAAGCGGGGTGGCGAGAGCCGGATACGCACGGAGCGTTCCAAAAAGGGCCTCGCTTTGGAGGATCGAAGGAGCTGCCATCTCTTCCTGGGCGGAAGGGCGGCAAAAGGCGGGCGGAAGTAAAACGAGGCCGCCTCCGCCGGCGGAAGGGCGGCGGAAGGCGGCGGAGGTGAAACGTGCGCTCCGAATCGATGGAAACGTCTTTGGGTTCAGGGCTTCCGAAGTTCACCAGGTAAGGACCGCTTTGGGTTCGGAAGGGGCTCGCCGTTCCTCAGGTCATTCCGTGCTTGTTCCTCTACGGTCGGACCGATGTGTGAGATCGAGGTCGGTTCGGGGAGAGCGCCCCTGGTGTTCTCCGTGTTGTTGGATGTTCTTGTGCAAGCTGGGGAGGGTAGCCTTGGATGTTCTGTTTGTTTTGTCCGACGGAGGGTCTCATGTTCATAAAGGATGTTCTTCTGGCCTAGGTCTGGCTATAGCTCTCCTCGCCTCGTTCACCCAGGCGCTCCCGGTGCCAAAAAAGGGCTTCGTTCCTTATTTGGCGTTCCTTCTGGCAGTACCTCGACTGCACGCTGGTCGCACTTCCCCTGGTCATGTCCGCCTGTGCCGCCGCCTCTATCGAATCCCATTCTCATCCGTTCTCACACAGGGTCTGACGAGGCTGTCGCTCAGGTCTGCTTCTTCGATCGGAGTGCCCTCGGTCCTTCAAGAGAACGGTGCTCCCGCTGCAGTTCTGGCCAAAGTTCAGTATCGGCGCTCTGCTCCGCCGTTCAAGACAGCGCTCTCGCCCCAGCGAGGGCCACATTTCTGGACACGACTCCTTCTTCCGTGTTTGCCGCCTGCTTTCTTTCCTTCGCCTTCCCCTGTTCCTCCTGCTCGTCCTGATCATGCTGCTGCTGATCATCCTCACGCGTCGTCATCATCATCATCATCATCATCATCATCATCATCATCATCATCATCATCATCATCATCATCATCATCATCATCATCATCATCATCATCATTATCATTATCATTATCATTATCATTATCATTATCATTATCATCATCATCATCATCATCATCATTATTTTCATTATCAGTAACATCATCATCCTCATCAGCACCACCATCAACATCATCACCATCACCGCCCTCCTCATCATCGTCATCAGCATCAGCATCATCCTCATCATCCTCGTCATAATCATTACCATGATTACCATCGTCATCATTACCAGCATCATCATTATCATAATCATCATCATTACCATCATCATTCTCATCATCAGCATCATCATCAACATCACCCTCATCGTCATCGTCATCATCACCACCACCGTCATCGTAAACATCACCGTTATCATCATCATCAGCATCAGCAACACCATCACCATCATCATCATACTTAGTATCAGCATCATCATCGCCATCATCATCATCATCACCACCATCATCAACATCATCAGGATTACCATCATCATAATGAGCATCATAACCATCGTCATCATCATCATCGTCATCGTCATCGTCATCATCATCATTACCATCAGCATCATCATCATCATCATCATCATCATCATCATCATCATCATCATCATCGTCAGCATCACTCTCGTCATCATCGTCATCATTACCTCCACAACCATCATCACCATCACCATCACCATCACCATCATCATAAGCATCATCTTGATCAGCATCAGCACCATCATCACCATCATCATAATCAGTATCAACATCATCATCGCCATCATAATCATCATCATCATCATCGTCATGCCATCATCATCATCGTCGTCGTCATCATCATTACCAGCAGCATCATCATCAGCAGCATCGCCATCGTCATCGTCATCATCATCGTCATCGCCATCGTCGTCGTCAACATCAGCAGTATCATCATCGTCATCACCAGCATCATCATCAGCATTATCATAACCGTTCTCTTTATCCTGTTCTTTTTCGGCTCATCTGCCTCCTCCTCCAATCTACACCCACCTTCTGTTTCCGCGTTACACGATGTGGCCATTTGGCGGAGCGCCGTCCTCTCAGGCGCCCCATACCGGTGGATACTGAACGATATGTGTGAAGGTGAGGGTTTCACACATTGTGCGAGCGCGTCTAGTGTACCCTTCCCTGTCTTTCCTCTTCCCTCCCCCCTCCCCCGTCAACTCTCCCCCCCTCCGCCCAGGATCATCTTCCCTCCCCTCTTCCCTGGCGTACCTTCCATTCCCCATCCCCTCCACAGGCTTGGCCAAGGCCTGCACATCTTGCGCACTCTCCTCGCGACCACACGCGACAACTGACCCATTGTCCCTGTACCCCCCCCCCCCCCCGTCCGCCCTCATTCCTTCCCTCCCCCTCTCCTTGATTTCGATACGCCCCGCAGCGAGAGATTACGCTTTACAGCAACAGGCCAGCCCGACTCCGATCGCCGTCGGGCCTCTCGGCCGTTCTGCCCACTTCTCGCCCGATTGGCCTTTGAGCCCAGGTGCTGGACTTGTCCGTGGCGATTGGGCGCGCAACGGAGGGCCCCCCTGGGAGTCACCAGCTTAGGACCTCGGGACTTCTTCAACGGCCGATGTGCCTCGCTTGCCCAGAGGAGGAGTCTCTAGCATCTGGGCACGAGGGCGAGAGAGGGGCAGGAGGATGAGGAGGATAACGCATACTGTGATGACAACGACGGAGAGTACAACGGCGCTTTAGGCACGCCTCGGCCGTCTGATCTCAACATGGTGCCGACAGAACGGCGGAAGAGGAGAAGGATGAGCAGGATGAGAAGGCGGAGGAGAACAAGGAGGATGAGGCAAGAGGTGGAGGAGGAGGGAGGGGATGTTGATGACGATGATGATGATGATGATGATTATGATGATGATGATGATGATGATGATGATGATGATGATGATGATGCTGATGCTGATGCTGATGCTGATGATGATGACGACGATGATGATGACGCTGACGATGACGATGACGATTATGATTATGATGATAGCGATGATGCTGATGATGATGGTGGTGATGCTGGTGGTAATTATGATGATGTCGATGATGCTATTGATGATGATGCTGCTGCTGCTGATGGTGATGGTGGCGGTGGTGGTGGAGGTGGTGGTGATGATGCTGATTATGCTGATGGCAATGATGATGGTGATGATGATGGTGATAAGGATGATGGTAATGATGATGATGATGTTGATGATGATGATTATGATGATGACGATGATGACGACGATGGTGATGACGATGATGTTGGCGATGATGATGACGATGTTGGTGACGGTGACGATGATGTTGGTGATGGTGATGGGGATGATGTTGAATGGTGATGTTGATGTTGATGATGATGGTGATGTTGATGGTGGTGGTGGTGGTGGTGATGATGCAGAGGGTGATGATGATGCCGCTGCTGAGGATGATGAGGATGATCATGATGATGGGTTCTGATCGCAACGGTTGTGAACACATTCAGCCAACATGCTACACGGCTGGACCATGACGGGGATGCTCGAGACAAGGCTTGCAGAGCCTTGCCACACCCAAATTCAACCAGTCACAGAGTGCTGCACCTCGCCGCGTGTGACTGGCTGGCTGAGGCGACGCGGTAGCTAGCCGCCCCAGCACACACGGGCTCGAGGACAGGACGGCACTGAAAGCGATGAAGGCCCAACGACGCCATCATCCAAGGTGGGACCGCTTGCGCAGGAGCTGCCGCAAATGGGGGCTACCGCGTAGGAGCCGCCACCAGTTGGAGCCGCCTGCGTAGGGGCCGTCTGCACAGGAGCCGCCGCCAGCGCAGGAGCCGCCGCCAGTGGGGGGCTCCAGTGGGAACCGCCTGAGTTGGGACCCGCCGCCAGCAGGAGCGACCTGCGTAGGAGCCGCCTGCGCAGGAACCGCCGCCAGTACCAGCGGCCTGCGCGGGGGCGGCCCGGCGCCGACGCCGCCAGCGCACGACGAACACCTGGAACCCTAGTGGAACATGTAGATCTAGGTGAACCACTGCGCCGCCGTTGATGAGCCAGACCAGGTGCAGGACGATGATTGCTTCTAGTTGCTATGACTGTGAAGGCATACTTTCAACATGCTAAACTGTTGTGCTTTCACGGGGAAGCGCGAGGCAAGGCTTGCAGGGTCTTGCGCGCCCCCAGTTCACTCAGTCACAGAGTGCTGCACCCCCGTGTGACGGGCTGTCTGAGGCGACGCTGTAGCTAGCCGCGCTGGCACATACGGGCTCGAGGACAGGACGGCACTGACAACCAGGACGGCCCAAGGACGCCATCACGCATGGTAGGATACCGCCTGCGTAGGAGCCGCCGCCAATGAGGGCCACCGCGTAGGAGCCGCCGCTAATAAGAGCCGCCCGCGTAGGAACCGCTTGCGTAGGAGCTACTGCCAGTGGGAGCCGCCTGCGCAGAAACCGCCGCCAGTGGGAGGGCCAATGTGTGTCTCCATTGGGAATCGCTTGCGTAGGAGCCGCTGCTGGTAGGAGCGGCCTGCGTAGGGGCCGCATGCGCAGGACCCCCGCCAGTATACGGGCGGCCTGCGTAGCAGCCGCCGCAAGTGGGAGCCGCAGTCGTAGGAGCCGCCGCCAGTAGGATCCGCCTGCGTGGGGGCCGCCTGCGTCGGAGCCAGCGCCAATCCAGCCCGCCAGTGGGAGCCGCGTGCGTGAGGGCCGTGTTCGGATGAGGTGCACCTTGGTGCCTACCTTTCACAGTCCGCATCTCGTACATGCCGTTGGGGAGCTGCGCGGCAGCGTGGGCTTTTCACTGGGCGGGTCGCCCTAGCTCCTGGTTTGGCCGATGGGTACCTGCCTGGACCCTGGTGAGCAGCCCTGGGGAGCCACGCGGGCCTCGCCCGAGATGTCATGTACCCTTTCGGAGAGCTTCCAGGTTTTCCCACGGTGGCGCACTAATAGTCAGAGGTACTCATCCCTACTACAGCCGAAGTCGATGATAGGGATGGGTAACCTCTCCGAGAGTACCCTTGCATCCTTGCCTCCTCGGTCCATCCTAAACCCTAAGCCCCTTGCGATGGCCAGCCCTGCTCGAAAAGCCTGGAGATGTGCGTACAAGTGGCTTGTATCGATACCGCGCATCCTTATCATCAGGTTTGGCTGTGCTACTCAAGGCTGGTGTGCGGATGCCAGACCTCCAGGCACAGGCCGGGAGGCGTTGGGCTGGGCTCACCTTCCCCTCTTCCCCCCAGGTGCCGTTCGAGCCTGCGATCCTGCTTGCCAGCTCCACGTCCACTCCGCTTGCGCAGACAGCGCACAGCGCTGTGGGCGAGCCAGGGTCGTGAAGCCCCCGAAGCCTCCTACTTATCGGGCGGATGCTAATGGGGGATGGCCCACATGGGAGGTGAAGAAACATACCCAAAAGGGGCACTGGGGCCCCTTTGGGAGCCAGTGGATGCTCAAAAGGGGCCCTAAAGGGCTCCTTTTGGGCCTTGTCCTTCACCCCCCCCTTTGGGCCACCCCCCATCACCTACCGCCCGAACTTCGCCGTGGTCGCCGACGCTGCGGGGGCCTGTCTGTGCCTGCGAAGGAGGGCCCTGCCGAGGAGAGCACGGATGGCATATTGGATGCCACGGGCTGGGCGGCCGCTGCCTCGGGCCGCGCGGGCCACGAGGGCTGGCGGACAGCGTCGGACGGTGCTCGTTCCACCTTGGGCCCGCACGCCCCCACGCGGTGGCCGCACGCTGTCTGCCAGGCTGCGACGGCCAGCTGCGTGCTGCCGGCGCTGCTGGCCCATCTGCCACTGCCCTCGGGAACCTCTCCATCCTGAGGGACCGCGCTTCCCGCGGCGCCCTTGGCCTCGTCGACGATTTCACGACTGACACCGGTTATGGCCCACTCACGCTTTCCTCGACGCCTGTGCCATTTCAGATGGCAGTGACAGTGCTTTCGGCGCCCACGCAGCTAGCTATCAGGACGGCCTGTGCAACCATGACCAGGTTTCCCGTCCAGCACGTCGAGAGGTACCTACAAAGGACGGGGAGGGAACGTACGGTCAAGTTCTCGAAGCAGAACGTCGTTGAGGAGATGCAGGCCCTCAATGCGGGACCATCGATGTAGGGGCTACGGGCGCTGCTGCGAAAGCCCTGCAACCTGGGGCTGGCTGTCCACGCAGCGGAGAAGAATGAGTAAATACCTGATCCCATCCACGGCGCATCGCTCGGCCCTATGTCAGGAGGGGAAACACGGACACAATCAATCGTCGATTCCCAGGAAACTATGGGATCATATGGGAAGAGGGGGAGAAGACGAAAACCCAGGAAATGTAGGAGCATATAGGGGATCTTGGTGTTTGTGTCTATTTCCCAACCTTCCTTGGTTGGGCATTCGTTTTGAGTAGAGCACTGCAGTCGCGTCTTCTCCTTCTCCTCCTCCTCCCGCTTCCCGCCTCCTGCCTCTCGCTCCCCCTCTTTGTCTCCTCTTGCCTTGTGCGTAATTGCCGCTTGTGTGTGTGTGTGTGTGTGTGCATGTTGCCTGCGGTGCCTGTCTCCGACCTCGCCGACCCTGGGGGGCTGCGATCTGCGAAACCGTTGCCACTTTGGAGGGCTGCAGGGGGGGGCAGCATAGTGGGTAGCCGCCGCGAACCCAAATTAGACCTCGCTATCCCTGGGGGGGCTACGATTAGCGAAACTGTCGCCACTTTCGAGGGCTGCTGGGGGGGACAGCATAGTGGGTACCCGCCGCGGGCCAAAATTAGATCTCGCCATCCCTGGGGGGGGCTGCGATGTGCGAAACCGTCGCCACTTTCGAGGGCTGCTGGGGGGGACAGCATAGTGGGTAGCCGCCGCGGACCCAACGTAGACCTCGCCAATCCTTTGGGGGGCTGCGATTTACGAAGCTGTCGCCATTTTCGAGGGCTGCTGGGGGGGACAGCATAGTGGGTAGCCGCCGCGGACCCAAATTAGACATCGCCAATCCTTGGGGGGCTGCGATGTACGAAACCGTCGCCACTTTCGAGGGCTGTTGGGGGGGGGAACGCATAGTGGTTAGCCGCCGCGGACCCAACGTAGACCTCGCCATCCCCGGGGGGCTGCGATGTGCGAAACCGTCGCCACTTTCGAAGGCTGTTTTTTGGGGGGGCAGCGTATTGGGTGGTAGCCGCCGCAGGCCCAAAGTAGACCTCGCCATCCATGGGGGGGGGGGGCTGCGATGTGCGAAACCGTCGCCACTTCGAGGCCTGTTTGGGGGGAGGGGGGGGGGGGCAGCATAGTGGGTGGTAGCCGCCGCAGACCCAAAGTAGACCTCGCCATCCCTGCGGGGGGGGGGGGCTGCGATTTGCGAGCGAAGCCGTCGCCACGCTCGAAGGCTGCTTGAGGGGCCAGCATAGTGGGTAGCCGCAGCAGATGTAAAGTAGACCTCGCCATCTCTGGGGGCTGCGATTTGCGAACCCGTTGCCGCTGTCGGGGGCTGCTTGGGGGGCCAGCATAGCGGGTAGCCGCCGCAGATCCACAGTAGACCTCGCCATCCGTGGAGGGCTGCGATTTGCGAACCCGTAGCCGCTTTCGGGGGCTGCCTGGGGTCCAGCATAGTGGGTAGCCGCCGCAGGTCCAACGTAGACCTCACCATCTCTGGGGGGGGCTGCGATTAGCGAAACTGTCGCCACTTTCGAAGGCTGCTTGGGGGGCAGCTATAGTGGGTAGCCGCCGCAGGTCCAAAGTAGACCTCGTCATCCCTGGGGCGCTGCGATGTGCGAAAGTGTCGCTGCTTTCGAGGGCTGCTGGGGGGGGGCAGCATAGCTATGTGCGAAGCTGTCACCACTTTCGAGGACTGCTGGTGGGTCCATCGGAGTGAGGCACCGCGCAGATCTGAGCGAGACCTCGCCGTCCCTGGGGGGCTGCGATCTGCGAAGCCGTCGCCACTTTCAAGGGCTGCTGGCGGGTCCAGCGCAATGAGGCAACTGCGCATATCTGAGCGGGACCTCGCCGTCCTTGGGGGGCTGCGATCTGCGAAACCGTCGCTACTTTCGAAGGCTGGTGGCGGGTCCAGCGGAGTGATGCACCACGCAGATCTGAGCAGGACCTCGCAATCCCTGGCGGGCTGCGAGCCTCACGAATGCCGCTCGCAGAAGTACATGCGCCCATGTCACGTCATCACCTCCGTATAACGTCTCCCAAGCTACTCATGTCCCGCATTGCGCAGGGGTTGGGTACGCCGCCAGGGTAATTATCTGTGTGTCCCTGGGCCCCTTTAATGTTGTTAGTGCCGCTGCGTCTGGACAGCAACGTCGGCTTCACCAGCGCCCGAGACCAGCCCCTGCGCCGCTGGGCAGGGGCCTCGCTGTGAGCGGAGCCGTCCAGGCAGCGCGTCGCTCGTGCCACGTGCGCTCTTGATACTTGTTCTCGTTTCCGCCTCCTCTCCCCTGCTTGTCTCTCCTGTGTCTCCCTTCCCCCCTCTCTCTTTCTCTCTTTCTCTCCTTATTTCTTTTGTTATTTATGCCTTGCTTTATTTATCGATGTATTGATCTTTGTCGTTCGCTTTCTCTTTCTCTCTCTCTCTCTCTATCTATCTGTCGGCCGTGGATGGCGACCCTGTTGTGTCCCTAGTGCCGTCCTCAAGAGCAACTGCCCCTTCGATCCCAAGCTCCGCAGCATTCCCCATCGCTGCCTTTGCGAAGACACCCCTCGCTGCTATGACAATTGACTCCCTGGCGGTTTTGTGGGACCTGGGAACGGCCGAAGGAATGCGGGCCGGGGAGAACGGAAGGACAGGGCAGGAGGCGGAGGGGAGGGCGCCTGATTGGCGGGGACGGGAACAAGGTAGGGGCGGCATTGGCTCTGGACGGGGTGGGGCGGACGACGATATTCGGAGGAGGAGGAGGAGGAGGAGGAGGAGGAGGAGGAAAAGGCACCCATACCGTCGTTACCCCTCCCTCGTTTTCCCCTTTTTGGGCCTCCTGGGATGTCCTCGTCGCCACCGCTGGATTCGCTTCTGGCCAGGACGCACCACGGCTGAGGTCCGGGGAGTACTGGTATAGGTACCTTTCGGATTCCCCAGATGCGAGAGGTAGCAGCAGCTGTTGGTTGTGGTCGTGGCCGCGGTAAAGTAAAATTGGGTGCGATGGTGGGTGAGGCTTGGTTGTGGCCAGCGGGGTAGTTCGCAGTCGTGGCAGTTCTGGCGGCGGAAGAGAGAGAGAGAGAGAGAGAGAGAGAGAGATTGTCGTTGCCGTGGCAGTGATCGCGTCGGTCATCATGGCTTTCACGCCGCGTCGCTGGAGAGCAGCGGCTTGTCAATGTAAGTGGCGGCTCAGCGCTTCATCGGGAGCGATGGCGCGAGAGTTGCCGCGGTTGCGCAAGCGGTGCTGACAGCGCTTGCGCCTGGCGTAGCGTTCCCGTGCCGTCCTGGCAGCCAGGGTTCGGGCAGCTCTCGCGAGGCCCCGTGCTGTCTCTTGGACAACGCATCTCGCCATGGTCTAGCCTCGGCGTGTTCTGGCTGTTTCCGACCTCCGTTTCATCCTCTCCCCTCATAAGATGTCATTGTCCATCCTTTATGTTCTCTCTCTCTCTCTTTCTTTTCCCTCTCTCTCTCTCTCTTTCTCTCTCTCTCTCTCCCTCTCTCTTTCATCTCTCGCTCTCTCTCTCTCTCTCCCTCTGTCTGTCTCGCTCTCGCCCCTGTCTCGGTTGCGAAGAGGGGATTCGGTCTGCTTTTCTCGGCGTCCCAAGGATAGCGACAGGGTCCGACGACAACACTTGTCGGTTCTTCTCGGTGGCCTTGTGGACGGCTGGGCACACCGAGCCGGCCGTGCCGAAGGCCGCCCAGAGCACCAGCGCCGAACCGAACGCTCCAACGCCAGAGCGAAACCCGCACTTGCCGCTGGCACCAGCCGGGGCCTCAGATCATTGCTCGGGTTCCCATTGCAGGACTGATCAGGCAGGCGTTGAGTCTGCAGACGTTCCATGCCGTCTGTTCGGCTTCTTCAGTTCTGTGTAGGGTTCCATTCGAGAAAGAGCGGTTCTAAAAATTCAGTCTCGGGATGTGGGCTGACGATTCCCCTAATCGCGCCTTGTCGTAAAACATAGCCGATGCTGCAGCAGAAGGCCCTCAGAGAATATCACGTCTACCCTGGTGATTGAGATCCTGGCGTTTGACTCCGATCGTCACGCGTTAGATCGCCCAGTACAGCTGCAATTACTCTGATCCTGCAGAGGCCACCTCACAGGCGCGCCATGGCGCTCAGCGAAACAGGACGGCAGGAGGAGGAAGACAGCGGAGATGCGCATCAAGAGGCCGTCTGGAATTCGCAAGAGTATCCTAGGTTGTTCGAGTTCAGAGAAACTTGCGTTGAGAAACCGCGGGGTTCTCAGGCCATGACCCGTCCAGATCTGTGGGCTTTGGAGTCTCGGTGCCTTGTGGAAGCCTCACGTCGTCAACGCCCTACAGGTGGCACGAGGTTTTCAGCCGCCACGAAGGTCAATAACAGTCATAGTTTGGGAGGCTCACCCTTTTGTTCTTCGCCGTTGGGCTCCCCACCTTGTAATGCTCTTCGTTTGGGATGTGTTCATGGGGCCCTGGGCTCTCGGCGAAGGGGCCCAAGTTCGTGATCCACGTTCTTGTGACCGCGTGTCGACTGTAAGAGCGGTCCCCGCATTGGAGGGGTAGCCTTACGTTTTTTGTGTTTTTAGCCATCCACGTTCGTGATCCACGTTCTTGTGACCGTGCTTCGACTGTAAGAGCGGTCCTTGCATTGGAGGGGTACCCTTACGCCCTTTGTGGTTTTAGCCATCCACCGTGGAGTGGCCCTCTCCTGTTAGGTATCGCCGAGGGGCCCTGGACCCTCGCCTCCACCGGAGCAGGGGAGGGCCCCAGAGGGCAGAGCCTGGTGGCGCCAGCGAGCGCCGAAGAGACTCGGGGGCGCCGAGGAGGACGAGGAGGCGGCGGAGGCGGAGGAGGAGGAGGAGGAGGAGGAGGAGGGAGGA